AAAAATGTTTTATTCACTACATTCCACCCTTTTGTAGTTCTTTGAATACTGTATATATATTAATAAAACAATTTGAAGGACCAAAGTCCATAGCTATCCTATAACAGTTAATATGCATGTATGATACAAGCTCTTGATCATCCAAGGTGACCTTGGTGTATATTACTTTGAATAATCAGTCTATCATATAAAAAAACTGAAATTTATTAATTCTTGAATTCTTGAAATTATTCTTAGCATAAAGAATATCAAAATTTTCTCAGTATCTTGCACAGAAGATCACCCACCCTGTGAAATTCCTAAACAAATATGAAGTTAACTGAATAATATTACTACAAACTGAACATAAATTTCAGAAGTTTTTTCCCACCAAAATATACTGAGGAATGGGTACTTGCCATTTTATTTACCATGTTCACATTCTAGGCGCCTAAATAAATGTAATGAATTAATAGAAAAATCAAATTAAAATTCAGTTCAAATTTACATGGACTAGATTATTGAACTATTTGAAATTCAATTCTGTTGTAAAATATATTAACATTTAATTCTTATATTCTTTGGCTAATTCCATTTTTTAAATCTTCATATAAAAAAATTTAGAAATGACTACAGATTAAGACAACTCTGACCAAATGAAATTTAATAACATCAAAAAATGTAACAAGAAAAAGTACAATTCAAATGAAATAGAATTTAAAAATTTTGAAAATCATTAGAGATTGAGGGAATGGAATTTGCCTAATTTAAGTTTAATTAAATACATTCCATTTATTTCTGAGAAACATTTTCCTTTGTTAAGACTAAAAATTTAAAAAAGGAGAGTAGGCAGCAATGAATTATTCTTCAATATAAAAAATGTCCTAATTTCCATACTGGCTTTAGTTATCTATTAAATGAAAGTCCACAGGAGACATGCAGATAAATTTCTAAAATTACTACACTCAAAAGTCTTTAATCCGGACTCGTTGGGACTTCCGGATTACAGATCATCAATTTAAATCTGGTAAGATGGCATGCAGAAAACATAAAATTAAAAATTTGAAAACATAATTTATGAAATAAAGAGCAATTATGATCTAAAGGATATCAAAATATACAAAAAAAAAAAAAATATTTATTTGTTTACTTTATTAAACATTTCTTTCAACGCATGCATGCGTAAAGAATACATTACGCATAGTCGAAATTAGAAAATTGCAATCAGAAAACTATTTGATGTGTATCCGTAATATAATGACGAGAAATTTGATTTAAATCATATCAAAAACGGAGTACATTGAGATGAAATACTACATTTAGCAAGGAATTACAAGCCGAATAAAATAAAAACATCTGCCCTGAATATAAGGATAGTGCTGACAGATCAACTTCCAGTTCATTGCGCGCCGTGATGTTCCTCCCCCCGCAGAGCAGTGTAAAATTGATAAACAGATTTTGGAAAGGTTAGAGAAACAAAGGATATGCCTTTATACATTTTTTGCAGCAATTCCACTTTTTGTTTGATGGACATCAAAACATGCTTTCGCTTTGTAGATCCTTTGGCAGCTCCAGAATCGGAAATTCTTTTTGACATAAACTAAAGTTCAAGCTTACTTTTATAAAATTGCTCCAACAGTCCGCAAAAAATAAGCCAGGATCCAATTAGAAGATTAAGGAACAACGCAATCTGCAACATTAACTGAATTAGATAATTTTAGCTTAGCTTATATACCGTCCGTTATACATTAAACGAGCATGCGCAGAAAGTTTGTAGCTTTGAGGTCCAGATTATAGATCATTCCGGATTATGGACGTCCAGATTAAAGACTTCTGACTGTATTCTTATAATAGAAAAGGGGTGGTCACTGTATGCTGCAGAAAAGCTTCTCGAACAGAAAGGTGATGATAAAGAAAAACTAAGTTATTTTATGAACTTGAGCATACTCTCTATAGCCACACTTGGAAATTTTCATTTTAAAAAATTCTATTATCACATGTGCCACTAAAATGAAAGGTAAAGTTCAATAGGAAAATTTTTCACAGACAACAGCAAGTTTAACGAATTAATCAAATGAAAGAAACGAATTTAACAAATTAATTTCGTTTCTTATGACTTAAAATTTACACACATGCTCAGACATTCATACCCAGAATTAAAAAAAAAAAATTTTTTTTGTCAATAATGAAATTCTGAATTTAGTTTCAGTATTGCATGATAATCAAAACCAACACTTAAATGTCACTAACATATTTAATGAACTTTTGTCATTATGCAGAATGATACTGGCACAGCTATAACATACTAATTTTTACTTGAAAAAAATGCTCAAATTTTTTTAGTATGATTAGTCTTCATACTAAAAAAATGCTGGATACAATAGCTCAACCACCATACTCAAATAAAAACTGCTATTGATTGGAAACTTGCCTTTACTAGAAAATCCACGAGCATAGCCTTTATACTTTAATATCATAAATTACATGAAATAAATAAAACTATTAAAACTAAATTCCATATTTATTCAAATTGGTAGGACCATCTGCTACTACTTTTTTTTATCCTAAAAACAAATAATTATTAAATGATATGCATGGCTGGAAATTTATGAATACAGCAAATGACATACTCTTTAATAAATTCATTTCACATTTTGTTCCAATTGATCGATTTACTAGGAGAAAATTTAAATTATGGACATATCCCATATAATTAGCAGAATTCAGTAGTTAAGGTCAAACATTTCACCAATCTGTTTAAGCCTTGAATTTACCAATAATGATACTATAATTAAGGCCTTTTTACGAAAAGTTAACTTCTATGCAATCAAATAAAGCATGTTAACCTGCAAAACAAGGCACAGAAGTCAACCTTGAAATCTGAAAAATAGCAAGACTTCTGGGAGAAAGTAGAGATGCTTTTACGCTGCACGGCAACATTAAAAATATACTGACTTATACAGAAATATTTTAATGCCTTTATTTTTTAAATTGCTTCCAAATGAATTCGTTCTTAATTATATCCAAAAAATTAAAGATTAAAATTGCGATTTAAAAGGTCTACTAGACTTTTCGAGAAATGAAATACTCAGCAGAGAATGCACAGCTTATGTTAATTATAATTCTGAAGAGAAATTCTTGCAATTAGAAAAGCCACTACTTTTCAAATTGAAACCTTTTCCCGACTGCGATATTTTAAGTTTAGAAATGAAAAGGCAGATGTTATTAATGTCTGGATAAAAGGTAGAGAGTTAAAAAACTGCAAGCAGAAAAGTAAAATTAGCTTCTATAATTAACAAACATTCGAAAGTGAATTGTTGGGCATTAAAATAACACAAACAAGAACTAATTATCATACTTATTCAAAAAAATACAAAGAGGAAATTCTATATAGACTAAATAAAAATAATATTCACAGGAAAAGTGCACAGCAAAAATGGATGAGAAAAATACACATGTATGAATAAATTTTCAAACTGATACATATTCAAAAGAACTGCATGACGAACAGCAACAACGAACTAGCTACACACAGAAATGGCATTTTTCTTGAATCATCAAATTTGGCACATAATCAGATAAAATAAAAATTTTCACACGTAAAAAGCAGACTTTTATCCTAGAATATAATAAAAAATTCAGTAATTAAGATCAGAAAATCTTTTACCAATCTGTTAGGCCAAGAACTTACCCGCATTAGTTTTAATGAATATTCTCAACAAATCGCATCTCAATCTGTTAAATAGACTGTGTTAATATGCAAAACAACATATTAAATAATACAAACAAGAATTGACATATTTATTCAAAAGAGGCATAAAGAAGAACAATTTTTATGCAAACTAAGTAAAAACGGCACATTTACTTGAAATTTTCTCAAAAATTTACCAGCAAAAACTTGATGAATCTCTACATGAGCTAAAGAAAATACCACATTCAACTTGAAATGAGTTCAGTCAGAAATTTACTAGCACAATAAAAAGAGACATGGAGGGAAAAAAAAGAAAAAACAAGAATTAATTTTTATATCTACTCCCCCCCCCAAAAAAAAATGCAGAATGAGCAGCAGCAACACAAAACAAAGTAGACAATTAAAAATAGTAATTTTAATGAATCGATCATTAATAATGAAATTCTGGGCATATACCACATAATCAGAGATAAAGTACAAATTTTCATACATAAACAGCAGATTTTATCCTACAATATGATTCAGTAATTAAGAGCAGGTAATATTTTACCAATTTGCTAGGCCAAGATCTTACCATCATTGGTTCTAATGCATTTTTCAACAAACAGCATTACACATCTGTCAAATAAACTGCATTAATCTGCAAAACAACACACATTAAAATAATACAACTAATTAACATATTGGCTCAAAAAAGGCATAACGAAGAGCAACTTCTACACAAATTCAGTAAAAATGGCACATTTACTTGAAATATCCTCAATCAAAAGTTTACTAGTAATGCTTTTACATGTGTAAGAATTTTCGTGGTTACTTAAAAAAAAATGGAAACAGTAATCTCTACACGACCTAAATGAAAATGGCGCATTTATCTAAAAACACGGTAATCGGCCAGAAATCTACCAGCACATAAAACAGAAAAATGAAAAAATATAGCATGCAAAAATTACTTTTCATATTTAATAATAAATATAAGATATAAAGCAAACACTTACCAGAGAAATAGAAACTTTGGTTATTTGACGAATAACCTGAAATTTGCCATTGCGCACATCTAAAAACAAACAACTTCAAATTAATCAAGCAAAATGTGTAAATTTGGAAAACAAGGTATTAAAAATTTACGATAGAATTTTAGCATACTTACGGATCAAAAACATACCACTCTTCAACCACAGTTCCAGAAATAAGAATGAGCCAATGACGCCAAATTACTTGGCGAGAAAGTTATTAGTAGATCTTCATGCAACCCAGAGAATCTCGTAACTCCTCCCATTTTTTGCCCCTTTTTTCTCGTGAAGATAACCTGTCAACAACGAATTCCCTTGGATCTTGGATCAGCCATCCCGCCTACTTTACTGAGTTTCTGTTTTACACTGAGATTGCTGTTGGAGTTGCAATACTGTGCCTTATCGTAGAATATATCTTTCGCAGAGCTTTTCTGTTATTAGGTGATCTTTGCTAGGCAGATTGAAAACATGCATTTTCTTCATTGTGTGAAAACAGCTTAATCTTCCGTGTTTGTGATAGGTTTTCGAAGTAAGTATTTTTAGCTTTTTATTTAGTATTACTTTATTCACGCTATTATATGAATGAGTGAAAAATCTGTGTACTGTTTAGTAATTTACTAGCAATAAATATTTGGAAAGAAATAAACGTTTTCGGTGTAACTGAATAAAAGAAATCATAGTAAATTTTGGGTATGAAACTAGTTTTAAATAGAAATTTTGATAACATTTACATTAATTATCAGTATGAGTTATTTCATAAATGTCTTTAACTATCCGAATGTTTTTAGCCGTAATAAAGTTATTATCATTCATACTTTGTCTGATAAGTTTTTTTTATTATGTTACAGATTGTTTTCATTCATGAAGATGGTTGAAACTAGTAGTATACGCCAGTTCCTGATATTGTTATATAAAGGGCTTTTATTTCGAAAGAGACATTATATAGTTACATTTTTTGAGATTGTTGTGCCTGTTATGCTTATGAGTGTGCCTGCTATAATACAGTCAGAATCCAATGCCAGTTCTCCTTATAGACCATCTGATTACGATAAACCATCAGAATATATGACAGAATGGATAGATCCAAAATTTTATCTTCCTTTTGATCCATTTGAAAAAGGAATGTATGAGATAAATATGCAGTTTGTTTTTGCACCATCAAATGGAATCGCTGAAAAACTTATGAATGCTTCAGTTGAGCTATGGAAAGAAAAAACGAAATATAAACCCAAGAGTATAGGTAAGTATATACTTATGTTGATTATATATGTATATTACATAATTATATATGAAGTGTTGTAAATGCATATTAATATGTATAAATAAAAGTAAATCTTTTTAACTTTTGTTGCATTATTTTAGCTCTGAAATGAATTTTTGAGTGACTTCTTTTTAAAGTAACAGCTCAATTACCTGGAATGCTTGAGAAATGCCGAATTCCGGATAATTGAACGTATAAAAACACAGTTCACGGTGGAAAATTCAAATGAATGGAAGAAAAAATTTTCAGTATAAAATTATAAAAAGAGTAATTTTATTTATTATCAACTTGAGGAACAGCTTTAGTGTTAGTTCTTTTGGCGATTTTTTGATTTAGCTATAAACTTTTGTTGCCAAGGCAGACCCGGCTTTGATGATAAAAAAAAAAAAAAAAATGGGGGATCGTCAACAAAACCCGTTAACAAGAAAAATGTCTAGACTAAATAAAAATCCTAAAAAATAAGCTGTTTTATTGAATAAAAATTTTATCGTTAAAATAAGCTGTTTATGCTGCAAAATATCTTTCTCTAATTTTCAACTTTAGTTTCTTACATTCTGTTATTAAAAGTAAATAAAAAAAAAGTTTTGAGTTGAAGTAAATCGAATTAAATTATCGTAGCAATTACATTTTGTATCAGTGTTAGAAATAGTTTCTGTGAATTAAATTATGCAAATGGTAATAACATTATTAAGAAGTTTTTTTTTTTTTTTTTTTTTTTAAATCACTCAATTTATTACACGTAATTTATGATTAATAAAGAGATTTTAAAGCTAGTATATGTTACTTTAGTTTCTAAGATTTATTATTAAAAGTAACCACCCAATTTATTACAAGTAATTTAAGATTATAAGTTAAAAGCTAAAATTAAATTATTATAATGAGTAAATTTTGTACCAATGGTAATAATACACAGTAACAGTTGTCGTAACTCATAATTTCTATTAGGCCCACCAGCGGCCGAGCGGTAAAGACGCTGAACACTGGTAGTTCGGTCCGAGGTTCGAATCCCGCGAACGGGCTTGCTGCATGGGCGTTTTCGTGGTTTTCCCCATGTGTAACATGTATATGAGCCAGTTTCCCTTAGAAAGTCCTCCACGAAAGGCATCCCTTCCCTTAGGCAGATAGCCCTAGTGTGCTTTGCCATAATTAAATACACCACCACCATAATTTCTATTAAAGATTCAAGCAGTCTTTGGAATCCACTAGTGGTGGAGTGATAAGCCACTGAACACTAGTAGTTGAGGCTGGCTGTATGGGGGTTTTTGTGTTTTTCCTTACATATAATGTGAATCTGAGCCAGTTTCTCTTATAAAGTCCTTTTTGAAGCCATCCTTCTTCTGTTAGCAGATCCCTATATTTTATTTGCCCTTTTACAATAACTATAGAGCAACAAAAATTAGCTAGAATAAAAGAAATAAATTAAAAAAGAATGTTTTTAATTATGAGTGAAATGAAATATTTTGAAAAGTAATGTTAGTTTTCATTTTTCTATGCCTTTCACTTCTGTAGCTGTTCACATCATTTTTATATGAAAGCTTTACATAGCAATGATTTAAAGCTGTGATAATAGTATTTGTAGTTACCTCACTTTTTTCATTCTTTAACAGTTTTTCCAACAGTAGTTGAGTCTTAACACATGAAATTAATTGATTTCTTAGAAAATATATCTTATTTCTGAAGTGAATATAAGGTTCCTTTATTTTGTAACCAGACTTATTTTACTTTTGGGATCTTTACTGTCACTTCCCCTATCTGTTTTCCCACCACAATGCAAATGAGGTTTTCAGTTTGTAAAACAAAGCGTGTTCTGCCTTTTAAGACCATATATACTAGGTTGCGAGATACGATAAGATTTGTAGTCTTCAGTCTTGCATTATAATTGCCAATAGTTGAATTCAACACCACTTAAGTTTTGAGCCAACTTCATTAAACTGACTTATGCAGCCTTTGGCTACTAGTTTATTTGAATCCAAATTTTACATTTGAACTTAATTGTTGTCATAAGTTATCTTGAGCTAAAGTGCAGAATCGTCCACTTATTTGTTTGGTGCTTTTTACATGAGTAAGAATTGGATTTTTGTCAAATTTCTTTGACTTTTTAAGTGAAAATAAATTGATGTGTACATGGATAAAGTCAAGAGTGTGCACAATGCCATTTTTGTGCAATTCTGGGATTAAGTGAAAATAGGTCGAAGTGTACATGGATACCAAGTATGTACAATTCTTAAAAACGGGCCGAGCAGTGGGCGATTCTGCACATTCCCCGTTATCTTCTTACAAGTGGCTGATTGATTCATAAGTAAAGTGTGTCTTCTGTTCTTATTTAATAGTTTTGGCTGATCTTTGGAATATTTAACTGGTAGTTTGGCAACATTTTGGAGGCGATAAAGGATACTACCTAGGACTTCGGTAATAATGTGAGAGGTACTCAGTTCCGATTACGCATTATTTTGCGTGAGGGAAATGAGAGATCATGAGATATGTCATGTGACATTAATGAATTTTTGTGCAATTCTGGGATGTTTTTTGAAGTAAAAATAAGTCGATGTGTACATGGTTAAGTGATATTTTAATTAAATGATGGTTATTTTATGAATTTTATGTTTGTAGGAATTTGGTATACGTTTCAGTTGAAGTAAACGTGCATGGAAGTAATTTAAATAGGCTGATCTTTAGAATATGGTAACTGGTAGTTTGGCGACATTTTGGAGGCGATAAAGGTACCTGGATAAAGGATGGATTTTGGAGGCGATAATACCTGGGACTTTGGTAATAACGTGAGCAGTACTCAGTTCCGATTACGCATTATTTTGTGTGAGGGAAATGAGAGATCATGGGATATGTCATGTGATATTAATGGACGAATTACGGTTCTTTAATCGGAAAAGGGGGGAAATCGGGAAAAAAATCTGGAAATTTTGTATTTGGCTTTATTCTGCGGAGTTTTGTTAGATAAAATTTCTAGCATAAGTGTAATTCGGCTAGTAGATTGTTGGAAGAAGTGTTCAGTAGATAAAAAGAAAAGAAACATGTCTTTACTTCGTGAAGACAAAATGGCGGCGGGAAAAAAAAAATAGAGGTTTGCTGTAGGAGAGTTGGTCGCCAAAAAAACGCCAAGTTACCATAATGTAAAGACCAACCTTTAAATATTTGACACTAAGTATTTGTAACCATTTGTAATGTTTGCGGTATGAATTCGTTGGTGACGTTTATAATATAATAGATAATTTAGAGGTAAAAGTTTTTGGATATTTTATTTATTTTATACGTGGAAATGTTCATCTTTGGAAAGGGTATACAGTCAAAAGTCGTTAATTCGGACTCGTCGGGACTTTGGCGATTCCGGATTATAGATCATCAGTTTAAATCTGGTAAGATGGCATGCAGAAATTATAAAATTAAAAATATGAAACTGTAATTTATGAAATAAAGAACAATTATGATCTAAAGGGTATCAAAATTTACAAAAAAAAAAAAAAAAAAAAAGCTTAATATTTATTTGTTTACTTTATTAAACATTTCTTTCAATGTATTGCTTAGTTTTTTATGTGATAATACATTCTCTTTAATTCTATAAACAGACATAATTTCTTGTTCAGTTACAAAGTTCCGCTGTTCAAGTCCTATAATTGCTGTGTCGAGAATACTGACTAATTTGTCAATCGAAATTTTTTCGTTTTCAATAACCTCTGTCACTTTCTTCGCTATCGGAAGCGAATTATAATGACGAGGAATTTGATTTAAATCATATCAAAAACGGAGTACATCGAGATGAAATACTACATTTAGTAAGGAATTATAAGCCAAATAAAATAAAAACATCTGCCCTGAAGGTAAGGAAAGTGCTGACAGATCAACTTCCAATTCATGGCGCGCCGCGGCGTTAAAGATAAAGAGAGTTTAGATAAACAAAGGATATGCCTTTATCCATTTTTTGCAGCAATTCCACTTTTTGTTTAATGGACTTTGAAACATACTTTCGCTTTGTAGATCCTTTACATATTGGTAAATATATATCAGAAATTCTATTTGACATAATCGAAAGTTCAAGCTTACTTTTATAAAATTGCTCTAACAGTCTGCAAAAAATAATGAGCTGAATCCAATTTGAAGATTAAGGAACAAAGCAATCTGCAACATTAACTGAATTAGATAATTTTAGCTTGGCTTGTACCGTCCGTTATACATTAAACGCGCATTTGTAAATGTATTTTGCACACACATATTCGCAGCCATAAAGGTTTTGCGCGCATGCGTCCCGGATTATAGATCATTCCGGATTATTTGCGATCAGATAATTTCATATATGTTCTTTTTACCGGATTTAAAGATTTACAAAATTTTCATGCATTTTCGTGAAATTTTTCTAATTTATGAGAAAAAAAGCAGTGTACATGGATAGTGAAGAGTATGCGCAATGTCATTTTTGTGCAATTCTGGGATGTTTTTTTAAGTAAAAATAAGTCGACGTGTACATGGTTTAGTGATATTTTAATTAAATGATAATTATTTTGTGAATTTTATGTTTGTAGGAATTTGGTATACGTTTCAGTTGAAGTAAACATGTATTGAAATAATTTAAATATTTGACACTAAGTATTTGTAACCATTTGTAATGTTTGCTTTATGAATTCGTTGGTGACGTTTATAATATAATAGATAATTTAGAGGTAAAAGTTTTTGGATATTTTATTTATTTTATACATGGAAATGTTCATCCTTGGAAAGGGTATATACTTTTTCGCGATCAGGTAATTTCATGTATGTGCTTTTTACCGAGTTGAAAGATTCACAGAATTTTTTTGCATTTTCATGCAAATTTTTGTAATTTATGAGGAAATAGTAGTGTAGATGGTTAAGAGAAGTGTAGAAAGTTAAGAGTGTGTGCAATGCCATTTTTGTGCAATTCTGGGATGTTTTTTTAAGTAAAAATAAGTCGACGTGTAAATGGTTTATGTGTTTGTGCTATTCTGAAAAAC